CAGAGAATAAACTGCGGGCAAAAGATATTATACACCAATGTTTGATGATGGCTAAAAATGAAACAAACATGAACTGATCAGACGATGATGTATATGATACGTGTTTCACAGTTGTGTTTTAGGCCTTGGGGGTGCAGTGTTTTGGCGACGGTTTTCAGCCTAGTAAAGTTTGGATAACTTTTGTAATTGACTTTTATAAAATCCAATTTTAAGCGTATACTTTTCCTTGCCCGGCAGTTTATGTACAGTCATGGTGAATACCTGTTTAATCTTATTCTTGTACCAGAAGCTCTCCACAATCATAGCAACCTGGGGGCACGGGTGGCCCAGTCGTCTAAGGCGCCGCGATTCGCTGTGCAGAGTTGCGTCCCTTGGGTACGCCAGAAACCCATGATTGTGGGTTCGAATCCCGGTTCGCCCCGATTATGTTTCTAGGTTTGTCAGCACCATACCCGTGCTCGTGGGTTTCATCGAAGTGGTAAACGTCAGAGACCTGCATCACTTCGGGCTTTCCTCCCACAATAAGCTGACACGCCGTGATATAACTGGAATACTGTTAAAAGCGGCGTTAAACCCAACTCACTCACTCACTCACTCATAGCAACCTCCTTTGGGTTCCCGGGTTTGTAGCGGAACTCAAGCAACCTTTGCTTGTCGTACGGGCGACTCGGATGATCGGGTGATGATGCTTGACACCTTTGCGGACTGCGTGTTCACGTAGCTCGGGTCCTTGCACATACATGTAATATCAATCACTGGACTGCCTGGTCCTGATTCGATTATTTACAGGCCGCCGTCATACAGCTAGATTAACGCTAAGTGCGGCGTTAAACAACAAACAAACAGAGCACCGATAAACTATATCCAATTTAATTTTAATCTACATCTGTGTCTTTTGCTAGCATACCTACACAATCATGGCATTGGTGTGCCTAATACAGTCATGACGTGTTAATCCGGATAGTGATTGAGTATGGTTTTACGCCGCTTTTGGTATATCACGGCAGGGGACACCAGAATTGGGTTTCACACATTTTGATGAATCGAACCCGGGCCTTCGGCGTGACGAGCTGTAACCACTCGGCTACACCACCGCCCCTATCCGGATAGCCCTACCAGAAGAGTGAGTGAGTGAGTATGGTTTTACGCCGCTTTTAGCAATATTCCAGCAATATCACGGCGGGGGACACCAGAAATGGGCTTCACATATTGTGCCCCTGTATGGAATAGAACCCGGGCCTTCGGCGTGACGAGCGAACGCTTTAACCACTAGGCTACCCGACCGCCCCTCCTACCAGAAGAACAGTATGAGCTTGAGGCTCTGCAGACAGTACAAAAGTCCGGATTTGGGGGGTTTCGCATTTAAGAGTCATACGGTAAATCGTCTGCTTCTAAGTCCAGTCAACGGTAGTATCATTATTCCAGTGTCCGGACTAACGACATTCCGGTGTAGCAAATGATCTTGTAATAACATTAATAGGTTTTCTGAAACACTCAGTGCTTAGTTTCAAGCATCAGTTTCTTAAACTCATTTAGAATGCATTTCAGGGTTAGATTGCATGAGGTCTTGATTAGGAGTGGGGTCCACCAAAAATCGATTTCAGTATTTGAATTTTTAACTCCTTTATGAGAAGAGGGTGCCTGCTTCAAGTTGGATGGTGCTGTTGGTTGACGCGGCGCAATCATGCCGGATCAGAGGCCTCTCCATTATCAGACCGGAGATTGTGCTTTGCCGAGAAAATTATTTTTGTGAAAATGAGAATTTCTTTCCATGCTTGGTCATGAATATCAGAAACGGAAAACTGCATTGTGGTCGATGGCGCTGAAAACTTTTGGACCATTCATCACAGGAAATAAAGCGTCAGCTGCGTCCATTAACACCGTAGGTCCTGAGTCGCGCACGCTTTCCTGGCTGAAGAAATGTGAAGAAATAGCCCTCAAAGTACCGGCGAGATAGACCTCAAATGTCACCTAAAACGACAGGTTATACGTCATTGGTTTAGCTGTCGAAAGTTACTTTTAAGATTTTGAGTAACTTGTGTTTTCCTAATGTTCGAGGTATTGATTTTTGGTGTTATTAAGGTTGTGTGGTTATTCAAGTACATGTTGGTTTTCATTCTCTAAATACAAATAAGGCGTGTCAAGTCCAGTACCAAGGAGAGAGGTACACGTGTGCGTGGAGCCATGTGAACCTGTATGGAGCCACGTTGTACGGAGCCATGTTATGAAGCTCTACGGAGCCATGTCAAGCTGTACTTATTCTACTCTTATCACTACAAATACTACGACTATGTTGTCCCGCTGACAGTGAGTTTCATACAGAAGGCCCGTGTTGTTCCTTTAGACTTCGTAAAGGACGTTGTCCCGCTCACCGTGAGTTTCATACGGGCTGCCCGTGTTGTTCCTTTAGACCTAGTTGTTCCTTTAGACTTCGTAAAGGACGTTGTCCCGCTCACCGTGAGTTTCATACAGGAGGCCCGTGTTGTTCCTTTAGACCGTGTTGTTCCTTTAGACTTCGTAAATGACGTTGTGCCGCTGACAGTGAGTTTCATACAGAAGGCCCGTGTTATTCCTTTAGACTTCGTAAAGGGCGTTGTCCCGCTCGCCGTGAGTTTCAAACAGGAGGTCCGTGTTGTTCCTGTAGACCTAGTTGTTCCTTTAGACTTCGTAAAGGACGTTGTCCCGCTCACCGTGAGTTTCATACAGGAGGCCCGTGTTGTTCCTGTAGACCGCGTTATTCCTGTAGACTATGGCTAAGGTATAACTATAGCATTTGCCGCAACGCTAAGATCTCATTGTGGAGCAGGCCCCAGCCAGTTAACAGATTTCAGTGATATTAAAGAAATCCACTGATACAACATATTTCAGATATAAAAATTAAACAGATGATGGTTCAAGTGTAATGAGTTGCATGAAACAGTGTAAATGAACCAGATTATGTGTGCGAACCTTAGCAAAAATATGACGTCAAGATTTGTGGAGCACGCCAGTAGGGCTCGGCATACGCAGTGATACATTAAAAACATAATTTTATTATAATGTATTTATTTTTTCTATTTTTTTTTATATACTTTGAGGTCGGAAATAAATTTGTTCGAGTCTGTTAACAAAATTATTTTCTGACACCATAAGAAAAACACAACTACATGTAGGCAAAGGAAAATGTATGCAAATGATACGCAAATATTTTGACTCTTGTCATGCCCTGAAAACAACGTTTAGAGGAGTACGACTGAAGAAACAAATATTGAATAATGAAGAATATTCAAGATCAAACTCATCTCTGGCGCTTCTCAAGTGAGTATATGTTTTGACGCCGCTTTTAGCAAAATTCCAGCATTATCACGGCTTCACACATTGTACTCAAGTTGGGAATCGAACCTAGATCTTCAGCGAGACGAGCGCTTCAACCACTAGCCTATCCCACTCATCAGTGCACCTCCAAATACAAACATGGTTAAAATGGATTATTACAAAGTCAATTTCCAGAACAGAACAAGGAATATCCTGGAACCTGTACTCGTGCGTGTTGTGTCACCGTGAAAAGGGCTTATGTAAACACAAGAATAACTAGCAGGCCATGTTCTGCATGAAAGTATTTACTTAACACAGAAATCGCTTTATCATTGATGTTTTCTAATGTGTAGGGGACCCGGCCATTGCTAGTTCCGTAATATGTTCAGTCAACACATCGGGCGATCGACTCTGATTGTTCAATACCGAGGGTCTATAAAACACGCGTGTCTCAGTGGGGAGTTATCGCCTTACACCGACATGGGCGGTGTGTGAGGACTTGTAGCGAGCGGAGCTTGCAGACGAAGCCGTGTATATGAATAAGTGTAGTGCAGATATAATGGGTTGTTGTAAACAACGGTCTGGGTCAGCGGTGGGCCGGTATGTGGAGTGAGGAATGGCGTGTAGGATGACCGGCACATCGAACAGGCAGATCATGGGGGTAGAGGGGGTAGAGGGACCATAGGAGAGAGAGAGAGAGAGAGAGAGAGAGAGAGGGGGGGGGGGGGGGGGGGGGGGGAGGGGAGAGTGAAAAAGAAGGAGGGTGAATGGAAGAGAGAGAAAGCTGGAGAGAGGGAGAGGGAGAAAGAAGGAGAGAGAGCAGGAAAGAGTGTGAAAGAGAGAGAAAGCAGGGGAGAGAAATCAGGAGAGAGTGAGAGAGACAGCAGGAGAGAGAGAGAGCGAGAAAGAGAACAGGAGGAAGAGAAAGAGAGCAGGAGAGTGAATAAGAAGGAGGGAGAATGGGAGAGAGAGAAAGCTGGAGAGAGTGAGAGGGAGAAAGGAGAGAGAGGGAGCGAGAACAACCAGAAGGAGGAGGCCACAAACACACAAACGGACAGAGAGTCCAAATTGCAAGAGAGTGATTGTGTGGCATATACACAAACTGAAGCAGACAATCAGATACACAGACAGACAATATAAAGCCCAACAGAGAGATAGACGGGCATGGACAACCAGAGATATTGGAGCACAGACAGACATACGGTGGGAAGACAGAGAGGACAGACAGACAGTGAGAAAAGAGAATGAAAGCATGTAGATACGAAGAGCAGAATGCAGAACAAGAGTAGAGATAGGTTGATGTGCAGAACCGCAGGTAAATACACAGACGCAACAGACAGGCATACAGTTTAGACACAATACAGTATACAATATATACAACTACGATATACTGAAGCTAAATATATTACTCAAAAGAAGTTAAGGATCAACCGTGTCTTTCATATTAATATAGTTAATATGTCATGCCTTGACTGATTAACTGTAGTAATAGGAAAAAATAGTATGTCCTTAACTTCTTTTGGGTAGTATACATGTATAGAACCAAAGAAGCATGTACGAAAAATAAGTTTAAGTTCAGCGTTCCGCGGTTTGACTTTAACCTACAGGTGCTCGAAATATGATACGAACACAAAACACAAAACACAAAACACGACTGACAGCGCTAGTCGCAGTCGTAATCTACAAGATAGGGCAATATATCTTACCTCAGGAATGACATAACGTTAGTCCAGGTAATTGGGTTGACTTGACGACTTTACGGGTGAGATAAATCCAAGAGATCGTCCTTTCTACTGACCAGCCTATACCAGACTACACGGTACAATGACGGTGATCATCGGGGGATATACACCCGGTACGAGCGCTCGGTCAGATTGCCATAGCGCGCTGTAAACAAACCATCGACCTCGATATACCGCCGCGCTGGGTGGACATCAACTATTGTATTGAGAATAATTATCTGTTGTGGTGGGCATTATCAAATAACATATTGGCCGGGAGGACTCTTGGCGTGGGGTAAGGCACGTGTTCCTCGAAGGGGTTAATCTGTATTATCCGAACAGGAAATGTAGTGGCATTTTAGTGTGATTTATATATCAATAAATAACATTTTTATCCCAGTGTATGCAAGACAAAGAATGCTTGGTCACTCTGATAGATCACAGACGCGGTTATCTTGAAGTTTGTTGGCACCCGTTTCAACAATTCGAGTTGTCAGCACATTCCATGTATGTAACATATTTCAAAATCTGTAATCATCGATTGCCAATTTTGTAAACCGTCGACCTGGATGTCTCGAAGTTTTAGGATCCATTTTAATATTTCGAGATATTGATGCATTCGAGGTATACATTAAATGTTGACACATGTCTAACTATAAAAGAAGGACACAACCTATGTAAGTGAAATATGGAATCATGATTGTAATATAATAATTCGAGATATCGGCACATTCGAGATATCTATAACCGTCTGTTGAAACCAACTTTGGGGAAATGTGATTAAATCAAGTGTTAGTGAAGCGAGAATTCTGGATGTATCCAAGTTGTAAGTATACAATGAAACACTTCGAGTAATCTGCACATTCCTGTTATACATATCCTTTTGTAAAATATCTCTTCCTATATCTACATCTTACTGGGATTCTGGGATTCTGGATTTGTCGGAGTTGGATCTAATTAATATTTCGTGATGTCAGCACAAATATAGATAGACGGCTATTTGCAAACATGAGCAGTCGTACGTGTTCGTATGCAGTTTTTGTACTCCTTCGAACTATAGGGGATTTCTACGTCTAAGTATTATTGTGAACGTCCTGACTGACCTTGATCAGTATTACAATCGTATCGACACCAAAACTGGGTTATTCACATTACTTTGAGAGGAATCGAACCCGGACCTTCGGCAGGCCAAGGTTTTAACCACCAGGCCACCTACCGCTCCTGTATACGTGGGACTGTTAAACACCGATTTGCGTCTTGGAATGGCTATCCTAATATGTCACAGTGTCCCTATTATGTAGTTCGATCCCCATGACACAAGTTAAAGGTTTGTCTGCACCAGCCCGTGCTATACACTCCTATCAAGGCATCGGTCTTTGGGAGACACGGGTGTCGTATTCATCTAAGGCGCCGCAACTGTTTGCAGAAAACCTGTGCCGATTTGGTACACCACAAACCATTGATTATGGGTTTGAATCCCAGATTCGTCCTGACTATGTTTCTAGGTTTGTAAGCACCATACCCGTGCTCGTGGGTTTAACAAAATAGTTAACGCCTAAGAACTGCATCACGAAATTTCTTCCCACGAACTCTAACTGATTACAGTTCAAATCGGCGTTAAACCCAACTGCTTTACTCACGAACTCAACGTGGTACAGAAGAAGGAAAGCTTACGCCTCACCAAAATTAATTAACCTTCTCCTTGTGTTTCTGAGTGCAAACTTCTCTTTGTATAGGTCTTTGTCCTCGCTCTTACTAAAGAAATACTTCACTAAGATACAATCTGCGCTCTTTGATTTCTACAGAATCTTGAAAGATGTGTTTTTCCTCTATGCAGTAAACATCAATCGAAACTGGGCATGTTACAATAGGGACGCCAGCAATATGAGATTGATTATGCCATTTCAATTCCATGATTAGTTTTGAATGCAAATGTATGTCACTTCACACAACCATACTGACGGACGTAATAAACACATCACTCGGGAAACATGACAATCAATTGAGACGGAAAGCCATGGTGGATGAATTGTTTGTTCCATTTGGAGTCTGGGTAGTTCTGAGGGATGATCCCTCTCGCGTGTCTCTCTCGCACAGTCTACTTAGTTATTAAACGTAATATAATACATTGCTTTTAAATTAATAATTATACAGGATAATATATGGTTAGCGGTAGGGTTATTGTATTTCAACCTTATTTCTGGAAGTTTCGATCCAGTCGCGATACTTGGGAAACATAAGTCCTCGGAATGTATGGAAACAATTATTGATTGATTGATTGATTGATTGCTTGATTGCTTGAGTGAGTGAGTGAGTGAGTGAGTGAGTGAGTGAGTGAGTGAGTGAGTGAGAGTGAGAGTGAGAGTGAGTGAGTGAGTGAGTGAGTGAGAGTGAGTGAGTGAGTGAGTGAGTGAGTGAGTGAGTGAGTGAGAGTGAGTGAGTGAGTGAGTGAGTGAGTGAGTGAGTGAGTGAGTGAGTGAGTGAGTGAGAGTGAGTGAGTGAGTGAGTGAGTGAGTGAGTGAGTGAGTGAGTGAGTGAGTGAGAGTGAGTGAGTGAGTGAGTGAGTGAGTGAGTGAGTGAGTGAGTTGGGTTTAACGCCGCTTTTAACAGTATTCCAGTTATATCGCGGCGTGTAAGCTTAATGTGGGCGGAATGCCTGAAGTGATGCAGGTCTAAGGCGTTTACCACTTCGGTGAAACCCACGAGCACGGATATGGTGCTGACAAACCTAGAAACATAATCGGGGTGAAGCGGGATTCGAACCCACAATCACAGGTTTCTGGCGTGCCCAAGGAACGCAAGTCTGCACAGCGAATCGCTGCGGCTTAGACGACTGGGACACCCGTGCCCCCTTAAGGGAGCTGAACTGGCGCAGCTTCAAAGACATTTCGGCTATCTCACCAACCGTGGTGATAACGACACACGCCCATGTGAAGATCCAGGTTAGAATTGATGTGCAGCAACCCATGCTTGTCGTGAGAGGACTCCTGACTTCATTGTAAATCTGCTGTATGGGCTTGATATCTTCTTTGACTCGGCTCCGTAGATTACTCATGAGGCGTAAGGTTTTGTCGTCTTCAAAAACTTCGTGGTTGTGAGGGGATGAATTTCGAACAAATTCACAAACTGTGCCAAGACACACTTCCAGTGAGTTGCAGTCTGTCGGCGGTTGTTCAGGCGATACCTGAAGCCTCCAAACAAGACTTGCTGACCTCCAGCCTGAGAAGTGATGAACTCAACTTTCAGTAACGCAGCCATCATAACACTGTCACCAAAGTTTTACACACACCTTTTATACTATTTCAGGGTTTTTAGAATAAAATACTCTTTGAAATAAAGTATTAGGTTAACAATGTGAGTAAAAGTGTGAATAGGATTAACTAATAAAAACAAACAAAGTAGATAAGTAAGTGTTTGATCTCTGAGTTAATTGGTTAATCCTTCTAACTGAGAAGGCATTGAAACTTAATAAAGTATTTTAATAACTAACCAAAACAAACAAAGAAACATTGGCATGTCTCACATTAACCTTTAAATTATTTTGTGTCTGAAAGGCCGTGCGGCCGATGTTGATTTTTAATCTACTGTTGATACCACATTTATGTCAAGCAACAACTTATTCTAAACTGTGAAATTGTAGACAATTTCATTTATATAGCAACATCTTCCTTTTCTCTCGCTGTTACATTGTGGACCATTCCATTTTTCACCAGGTAAGATAGCATTTCACTACTCCCAGTCTGCCTACACTGATTACTAATTTATACTCAGTCTGCCTACAAAAAAAGTGTGGGCAGATTGAGATGTAGGCAGACTGAGAAGTTACCATGTCATCTTACCCCTTTTGCGTGGATAGATGCTGATAATATAAATCACTGGATTGACTGGCCCAGACTCGATAATTTCCAGACCGCCGTCATTTGGTGCGACGTTAAACAACAAACAAAGACACACAATGAACCTCGTTACCTCGAAATCCTTGGAACCATGAGAAGTATAACAAGTTATCCGGAGTTTGAAACAAGCGGCGTTTCCACACAAACACAAACCACCCAACAAAGACAATCAGGTTGAAATGGTAGTCGGAATCGTAAAATCAATTGATGGAAGTAGAGTAGTAGTGAAACCCCGTTAACCTCGGCGGTGCCGTTCATGGTGACATCGTCGTCCAGATCAAGAAGGACGACCAAGTACGCCCATTCTGCGAGGATTTCAAAGGTTGTCATGCGACTCTTGCTCAAAAGTTGTTTGATCAGTGTTACACTATTAAAGGCCACAGTGATGCTTTCAAAATGTTTTATGGTAGACATGTGGAGGACATTTCCAAATCCAACCTCATTAAAATCAGATCTTAGTTCTCGCTTTCGCTAAACAAAGATCTGAGGACATCCCATTGCGGGTCACGTCAGCACGACCTTTCATCCGACCAATCAAAGTGTCGCTTACCAGATCATGAAAGTGACAGTCGGAATATGTTTTCTAATCATGCAACCTCGAAAACGTTAACAGGGTGTATTCCGAACGACAGTTACGGCCCGTACGACTGAATCTGTCAAAATTATCGTCTATCTCTCGCTTCCGTGGGATAAACAATTGAACGGAGGAGGCGTTGCACAGTACGTGGGAAGCACTGCCATGCAACCTCAACCATATATTAGACATTCCGAAATGTTCGTTCAATTTTAATCGACTATGTTAAACTGTGTTAAAGTATTTTTCAAGCGAAGTCTGAAATGGAAGTCGCCAGGTTGAAACGAGTGCCGTAAAGCTCGAGAAAGCTGCTTTCTTATTAGCTGATGTCTACTTCTTGTTGGTCATTTCAGTAGTCTGTCAAAAGGTCGTTCTGACGTGACCCGCTATGGAATGTCCTCAGATCTTTGTTTAGCGGCAACGAGAACTTAGATCTGATTTTAATGAGATTGTTCCAAGTCAGACGGATCAGTGACCAAAATTATGTCCTATGCAATTCATTATTTTGACTTGTACAATATGTTCCCCTAGTCTTTTAGGTGAACAATTGATTTGCCTTTGTAAGTTTTTGTGACCTGCCACCGGTGGGATAGGTACGCAAACCTTTTCGCGAACACCTGGTGTCATCACTAATTAATGGCGGTTCATTACCACAAGCCCATGATATTGTTGGAGTCGTGCAATGGACGCTGCTTCTAGAATTATTATTCCAACAGTGATCGCCCGAAAAGAGGGCAATACAGATTAACAGGGTCCGGACCGTTGGGGTTTAACTGTACAAAGTGTTTGAGATAGAGAGGGTTTGTCGCACATGTTTTCTCGTGTCCATACACACACAGTATAGAGGATGTGAGAAGAGGGGTTTCTGAAACAACATAGCAGCAGCTGACTGTCAATCTGTTTTTATGTTGGCAAGCAAACTGCCGAAGAGGGTATTGTGTAATTGATACAACACATGATATGTAACAAGTTTCGTATGATATAAAATATGTTAACATGAATAAATAAAAGTAGCCATTTCCTAAATCTTTCTGAAAAGGCTCATTTAGGAGTTGAACTAGTTGACTTTACGTTATAGAACTACAGGTACTGTAGAACCGATCAGCAATACTTTCATTTGAAACGGTTTAAACCGATAAAAATGTTCTGTTGTTTGTTTCTTTTGACAACTTTATTGCCGATTCTATATATATATATACGGTCAGAGTTGCGTCCCTTAGCTGTGGCTAATCATTGGGTCGAACCCAAGGTTCACATTGTCTGTGCGTGTCCGTGTTTGCGGTTTTACCTTAGTGGTAGACGTCTAAGACCCGAGTCAGTGATTTGCTCACCCCAACATTACTCGCTCCAAACAATACGCTGTGACATAACTGAAATACTGTTCAAAGTATCCTTAAACCTAACTCACTCACTTCAAGAAATGAGGACACGCCTTATCACCACGCAGCGATAACCTCGCTATGAAAGACCTCCATGGAAATCAGTAAGTGTGCTGTGGTTGACTGGTGATGACTCCACTCTAGTGTCAGTTTTTAACTCACTGATTGCATGTTTCTTCTTCGCCCAAGTGTTAGATGGAACGAAAGCGTCAGCGGAAGCGAGGGAAACACATGAATCAGGTAAAATAGATGTAACGCACGCACTCATTAATTATTATTCACATCACTTTGAAGCATGTAGAACTGCGCAGCGTTTCTTTCTGTGAAGTGAAATGTGGAATGAGTATGGTCGCATTTGTTCAAGTTCAGTGTATCTTCTGGTGATGGGCTTTGCTTCAATACAACACTGTACCCTTGTCGTCACTGGCGGATCCAGGCGGGAGGGGTGATCCAGGCGGGAGGGGTGGTACAGGCGGGAGGGGTGATCCAGGCGGGAGGGGTGGTACAGGCGGGAGGGGTGATCCAGGCGGGAGGGGTGGTACAGGCGGGAGGGGTGGTCTAGGCGGGAGGGGTGGTACAGGCGGGAGGGGTGGTCCAGGCGGGAGGGGTGGTACAGGCGGGAGGGGTGGTACAGGCGGGAGGGGTGGTCTAGGCGGGAGGGGTGGTACAGGCGGGAGGGGTGGTCCAGGCGGGAGGGGTGGTACAGGCGGGAGGGGTGATCCAGGCGGGAGGGGTGGTACAGGCGGGAGGGGTGATCCAGGCGGGAGGGGTGGTACAGGCGGGAGGGGTGGTACAGGCGGGAGGGGTGGTACAGGCGGGAGGGGTGGTACAGGCGGGAGGGGTGATCCAGGCGGGAGGGGTGGTACAGGCGGGAGGGGTGGTCTAGGCGGGAGGGGTGGTACAGGCGGGAGGGGTGGTCCAGGCGGGAGGGGTGGTACAGGCGGGAGGGGTGATCCAGGCGGGAGGGGTGGTACAGGCGGGAGGGGTGATCCAGGCGGGAGGGGTGGTACAGGCGGGAGGGGTGGTCTAGGCGGGAGGGGTGGTCTAGGCGGGAGGGATGGTACAGGCGGGAGGGGTGGTACAGGCGGGAGGGGTGATCCAGGCGGGAGATGTGGTCTAGGCGGGAGGGGTGGTACAGGCGGGAGGGGTGGTCCAGGCGGGAGGGGTGGTCCAGGCGGGAGGGGTGATCCAGGCGGGAGGGGTGGTACAGGCGGGAGGGGTGATCCAGGCGGGAGGGGTGGTACAGGCGGGAGGGGTGGTCTAGGCGGGAGGGGTGGTCTAGGCGGGAGGGATGGTACAGGCGGGAGGTATGGTCAAGACGGGAGGGGTGGTCCAGGCGGGAGGGATGGTACAGGCGGGAGGGGCGGTCCAGGCGGGAGGGGTGGTACAGGCGGGAGGGGTGGTCCAGGTGGGAGTGGGTGGTCCAGACGGGAGGGGTGATCCAGGCGGGAGGGGTGGTACAGGCGGGAGGGGAGGTCTAGGCGGGAGGGGTGGTCTAGGTGGGAGTGGGTGGTCCAGGCGGGAAGGGTGGTCCGAGCGGGAGGTGGTAGTCCGAGCAGGAGGGGCTGGTCCCCTTGCAGTCACCTCACATGTTAACTGCGCCCTTGGTCATGTTAATTCGTGACCTGGGTAGTATGTGCACCCACCATTTGCATAAACCTGCTGTCACTTTGTCTATTGTGTTGTGGGCATCTTGCTATCGTGTCATAGTACCCTGTGTAGTACTATTTTCAAGTGAGACCTGCTGAGAGGTTTTACATTTGAATTGTAAGACCTGCTTGGAGGTTTTACATTTGAATTGTAAGACCTGTTGGATGTTTTACATTTGACTTGTAAGACCTACTGAGAGGTTTTACATTTGAATTTTAAGACATGCTTGGAGGTTTTACATTTGAAATGTAAGACCTGATGGAGGTTTTACATTTGAATTACCTGCTTGGAGGTTTATATTTGAATTACCTCCTTGGAGGTTTCATATTTGTAACCCACTCTTTTTCCACTAAACCACCGGTGCATTTGATGAGAAGATGTTCAATCTTACATGTCATGACTTCAGTTGTCTGCTTGCTGCACGTGGTCTTCTGCTTTTGGGCTTTTCCCTCGCTAGAGGTTTTGAAAATTTCCATCACAACCTCATGTTTGAACTATTACTTTACAGTTCTAGATCTGCTTATCATTTCCTTGAAAGTAGTCTTAATTAAGTGTTATCACCCTCAAGTGGGATTTCTTAAATACGCGTTTGAGAAAGGATTTGGCAATTACAAGCATGAGGGAATATAGACACAATTGGGCATCAGTCTCGATTCACAATTTCCTTCACGGTTTTTTTCATGACTGGGTGTAATGCATCATTATTATATGACGTCATCGTGGTGAGTCATTGCGATACGTCACGATGACGTAAAGTATAATTTATTCATATCTATCGATATCTTTCGACTACGATTGGGGGATATTTACCAAGTATGACCTGATATAGTGTTCTCGAATTCTCGTTTTGAAAGTAATGTAACAGGCAGAACAATATCTACCTCAACTCCTGGTGAGTTCTGATGCTTCTCTCGAGATTGGTGTACTCAACATTGATATTGTTAACCCAATATCCCCAAAGCACAGTGCCTAAATTGGGGACATCACTGCAAAAACTCAGGTATTCTCATGGGACGTTCACTGAGAAAAAAACCCTAATCGTCTCGTAATGATTCGGGGCATGTTTAGATCATGAGCACGTGCAGATTGTAAATAAGTGTTACAGGGAGGTTCATCTTGTATAGATCTGTGGTGTGAGGTTCACCTTGTATACATCTGTGGTGTGAGGTTCACCTTGTATACATCTGTGGTGTGAGGTTCACCTTGTATACATCTGTGGTGTGAGGTTCACTTTGTATACATCTGTGGTGTGAGGTTTACCTTGTATACATCTGTGGTGTGAGGTTCACCTTGTATACATCTGTGGTGTGAGTTTCACCTTGTATACATCTGTGGTGTGAGGTTCACCTTGTATATATCTGCGGTGTGAGGTTCACCTTGTATACATCTGTGGTGTGAGGTTCACCTTGTATACATCTGTGGTGTGAGGTTCACCTTGTATAGATCTGTGGTGTGAGGTTCACCTTGTATACATCTGTGGTGTGAGGTTCACCTTGTATATATCTGTGGTGTGAGGTTCACCTTGTATAGATCTGTGGTGTGAGGTTCACCTTGTATACATCTGTGGTGTGAGGTTCACCTTGTATAGATCTGTGGTGTGAGGTTCACCTTGTATACATCTGTGGTGTGAGGTTCACCTTGTATACATCTGTGGTGTGAGGTTCACCTTGTATAGATTTGTGGTGTGAGGTTCACCTTGTATACATCTGTGGTGTGAGGTTCACCTTGTATACATCTGTGGTGTGAGGTTCACCTTGTATACATCTGTGGTGTGAGTTTCACCTTGTATACATCTGTGGTGTGAGGTTCACCTTGTATACATCTGTGGTGTGAGGCTCACCTTGTATACATCTTTGGTATAAGGTTCATCTTGAATATATCTGTGGTATAAGGTTCGCCTTGTATACATCTGTGGTATATGGTTCACCTTGCATACATCTGTGGTATGAGGTTCACCTTGTATAGATATGTGATGTAAGGTTCACCCTGTATAGACCCGTGGTGTGAGGCTCACCTTGTATAGACCCGTGGTTTGAGGTTTACCTTATATAGGTCTGTGATGTGAAATTCACCCTGTATAGATCCGTGGTGAGCGGGCCACCTATTTCATAGCTCTGTGGCATGAAGTCCGCAATCATAAATCCTCACCAAACGACATCAGCAAAAAATAAAACGCCGATTAATCCCTATCTTTTGATTTATTGTGAGGACATTATGTAGAGACCCCTAGAGAAGACGGCCGAAGTATTCCTAACCTCTGCTTCCTGCCATCCTGATCAGAGGTATCAATATCCAACCAGTCTCTGGTCTTATTACCCTGTCTCCTAAACACCATGCCTTCAAGAGCGCGAAATATCCCATTCTGACAAATGCGTCTGCAGGGTCGTATAAGCACTCAAGTATACCGAATTAACATTCCAAACCAAATTCCAAACTCCATATATTTGTCTAGCTCAAGACATTCGGCAAGAGACGAACACTATATCAAGTGTTCGCATGATAACACAGCCGTATAAACCCATCTCCCGGGATCATATCTCCAGCCTTGAGTAATGTGTGTATTCTAACGGCGTCTAGGAGACTGGGATTGGAGATCACTGGCGATTCCAAGTTCATCCACGTCATACTAAAGCATTATATGTAGAAGTGCAATCTTTTTTGCTGCGCAACGTAATTTCGAGAGTCCAGAAACAACTTTCCCAACAACTGTGTCCCTAATAAACTGCATCGGATGAGATGATGATCGGTTGGTCAAAATGAGTACTGGTTGTTGGTAGAACTTGGCTTGGGGAAAAGAAATCTTAAGCGGAAGTTTGGTCTTACTGTTGATCGGATGACCAGAATGGTAGTAAAATTAGGAATGCAGTTTTTGAGAATTCAAAAGTTATAGTGCTAATAATTTAAGACCTTTTAAATTTAAAACAATTTTCGGTCATATATTCAGTTGCCTTTACCGACTTCATTACCGAAAATTTGGAAATTAAAATGTTAACTATGCTAGAAAATGGATACCATTATTTAACGCTTCGCCGCGCCACAGGGTAGTTGTTGGTGTGCTAAAGTTGACGTGGGTATGCTATTCTCAAAAGTCTGCTGCCCGTTTTCAGTAAGGGTCTGGGCGTTGCAGTTAGTGCCCTATGTGAAACGGAGACATTGTCATTATGCCATGTTTTATCTAAGGATGTATAATGACGTCCAGATTCATTGAGGGCCATGATTCTAGGTGCAGAGAAAGGAAAGCAATCATTCAGTCACCGTAGAACTCGGGTGTTCGACTGATAATTAAACATGACAAAAACTGATTCTAAGGACATGAAATGTTTCTTATCAGAAGCTTATTTTTCAAATGACCATGGTCACGGGCTTTTTTTCATTTCCTATTTTTCTCATTTGGCAAAATTAAATCTGTTAGCAACCCAAGCGGCATAGCTTAGACAGAAATGATAACTCTGTCGTTAAAATCCGGACAATATTTCCTTAAAGGAATTCACATTAAATTAAATTTGACTCGCACGACGATGAGAAATATTTTCATTTTTTTCTGAAGCCCAGCGGTGATGTATATCTGTAAGATGTGTAAGCCTGTGGTCTGATTTAACAAGTCATTTCACACAATAGACAAACACAACGTGTAATGATTCAAGGTATCTTTAGTTTCAGTAAGGGTATTTGGCATCTTCTGCGATCCCACATCTGTTGACCCCTCGTTGGATGTTGACATAGCCTCCCATCCCCCAGGCCTCACCTGCAACAAAACAGCTGGCGGTTAGGCCGTCGGTTACATCATGTCCGGTTGAATACCGAGAATAAAGTTGTCTGATCGGTACCTAAGTGCAATCCTTTCCAATCACTGAATGAATGATTGGTGACCAAATGTACATACATTTTTGTATATATTGTACTTTTTCTTTTAATACCTTTATCCCCTATAAAAAATATATATTTACACCAAATATACAACTGAACAATTTTAACAATTTTTTTAACAAATATCACAACTTATTTTTCTTTTTTTTATCTATAAATTAGCAATTCCCCTTCGGCAAAATACCTTATTTGCGCGTCCGACGTTAAACAAATTAAATATGAATGGGTGGTTATTGGCGACCTTGACTCAGATTCAGTTGCATTTCTTCCATTTTCCAGAGGTTTTGTTTGTTTGTTTGTTTGTTGTTTAACGACGTACCCAGCAATATTACAGCTATATGACGGCGGTCTGTAAATAATCGAGTCTGGAACAGACAATCAAGCGATTGACATCATGAGCATCGATCCACGCAATTGGGATACGATGACATGCATCAACCATGTCAGCGAGCCTGACCACCCGATCCCGTTAGTCGCCTCTTATGACAAGCATAGTCGCCTTTTACGGCAAACATTGGTTGCTAAAGACCTATTCTACCCCGGATGTTAACAGGTTGTCCAGAGGTAACAGATATCCACATCATGGCGTGTGGAAATAAACTGTAAGTATGAAGTCCTGTAAACTTCAAGATGCTAATTAAACTATTCACTTGTTGCCTGTTCGACCGAAGGGGAATACATCAGGCCAAAGGTTTTTAAATAACCTATATTACATTATCTTCAGGACATCCACCATTTCCAGTGAACGATTGACTATTTTTCTTCAGCAATAGCCGGCCAAGTATCAAGTGGGTAGCCTCAATAACAGTATTATGGTAAAGAAATGAACCCAAAAATGTAGAATGATTTCAAATACTTCACGTACACCGTTAATCAACAAAATGTATGGTACGTCACATGCATTGTACGTCAAGTGCAAAATACGTCACAAACACAAACATTGGGTACACAAATACACGTTTACGTGTCAGTAGTCGTTCCCAATGCAAATACATGACACCCTAAATCAAAATAAAAAAATCTGAAGCTCTTCCCGTAACGTCACCCAGCTCACCCCAGCTATTCCTGCAGATCCAGTAGGGGTTACCCTCCTCATCAGTGCCGTACCCCACCAGCTGCAACACGTGGTCCAGGAAGCGACCGGTGCATTGTGGGTCCGAGTACACTCCAGATTTGTACAACAGGAAGGACTGTGGGCTGGCGTTGATCGTCACAAACACCGGGACGGTCAGGAGGGCCTCTAGAAGGGCCCCCTCGTTGTTAGCCGGGACAAACTTAGTGCCCTGTGTCTGACAGAGAACAAAAAAGTCGTGGATATATGGACAATCAAACTGAGTATGGTTTTACGCCGCTTTTAGCATCTGTCCGGCAATATCACGAAGGAGGATGCCAAGAAGTGGCTGCACAATATGTAAATGGTAGGCATCGAAGCCAAGTCTTGGAAGGCGAGTGAGTGAGTGAGTTTGGTTTAACGCCGCTTTTAACATTATTCCCGTTTTATCACGTGTCAGATTAAATGTTGAAGGAAAGCCCGAAGTGATGCAGGTCTCGGACGTTTACCACTTCGGTGAACCCCATGAGCACGGGTATGTGGTTGACAAACCTAGAAACATAATTTGGGAGAACCTGGATTTGAACCTACAAAAATAAGTTTCTGGCGTACCCAAGGGACACAACTCTGCATAGCGAATTGCAGTGTCTAGACGACTGTGCCCCCTGTGCCCCCTGGGCCCCCTGAGGAAGGCGAGTGCTGTCTGCTAGTCTGCCTATGCTGGGTCAATATGGATCGTTGGGAGTCGATATGGTAGTGCATGATTATGTTGATACTGTATTCCTAGAAGGACCGTCTACCATAGTGGGGCTATTGAACAACTGTGGAAATAATGATTGCCAAAAAATAATCAATCGCTAACAAAAATGTATTCGCGTCAGATGTGACGCAGCAGGTTTGATTTCAAGAGCCATAAAATGAGATTGCGTCAGATACGCTGGAGTCCTGCGTCAGGGAACATCTGGTCAGACAGACGCGCCCCTCCTTGTTAAGGTAATAGAGCTCACCTTGTGAATGGTCTAACAAAGCATCTGATCGTACCCTGCATGTTTGAACATCTAAATTTTGTTTGTTTGTCCTTTAACGGCGTAAGCAGCAATATTCCAGCCTTATGACGTAGGTCTGTAAATAATCGAGTCAGGACCAGACAATCCAGTGATTGACATCATGAGCATCGGTCTACGTAATTGGGATACGATGACATGCATCAACCAAGTCAGCGAGCCTGAGCATCCGATCCCGTTAGTCGCCTCTTATACGCATCAGTCGGAAAGCGCACGTTAAATCTCCAAAGTAAGTAAGTAAGTAAGAAGATCAGTTCTAACCCGGGTCTTCACGGGTTTAGACATCTAACTGGTACAGGCGAGTGAGTGAATGTTTTTTAATGTCGCCGTCTTCCTATTAAACAGCTGCCCGTAAATAATCGAGTATGAATGGGCCAGACAAACCAGTGACTGAAGACATGACGATTGTTTTACGCCGTCGTGGCACGACTCACACATTGGATACTGGGGACTAGTTTGGTCCCGGAATCCTAACTTACCAAAGAGATATAGTTGCTTCATGAAGCAACACGAAAAAAGAACCTCATGTTATGTCATGAGACGTGTACATAACAAGATCGACCACAGGTATTTCACGAAGGTCAGTGGTCGATATTGGGGCCACCAATCCAAGCTTTCGGGAACCGATGGCAAACAAAATTGGCCAAGTGACATCTCCCGCTGCGACCATGAAGCCACCGTGGACATCTGTTCTCCATTTGGGTGGTCTATTGGGACATGTATGTGTAACCTCGGACCAATTCTGCCCTGACTGACCGACCAAACATGACTGAAGGCGTGGATGTAGGTCGAACCACTTACTTGGGCCACAGGTTCGCATGACGTATTGGAACATTTTGATGTAGGCTTGTATGAAGCGTCTGTGCAGAGGCCCCCGATTTTGTGGATGCAGCCAAACACGTCTTCGTCGATGGGGAGCTGTAGCGATGCCTGACAGCAAGCCGCAACCTCCGCGGCACTGAGGTCAAACAGCTTGCCCGTCTGGATTGCGTGCAGGCTCTCCACACACTCTGAAACACAGGGGGCATTCATATAGTGTATGAAGCAAGTGATGAATGAATGAATGAATGAATGAATGAATGAATGAATGAATGAACATTATTTTAAATCAGCAGCATCTCTGCAATGTATGATGAAATCTGGAGCAGACAAGCCGGTCGCAGACTAAAGTCGGAAGTCAGTGTAAATTAGAGATTATAAAGACTATTGTTCAATAAATAATCCTTTAGGTGAAACACATATCTTTAAATATAATTCAATTCCTTCTGTGGTGAATTATCAGTTTGATGGCAGATATTCTCATAATTAATGTCTTATAGATGACCCCAAACTGTTACTCTTGACCGGTAACAAATTAATGAGTTTCTTTTTTATTTAATACCGCACTCAGCAGTATTCCAGCTATATGACGACGGCCTTTGAAAAATCGAGTCTGGACAAGTCAGTCCAGTCATTGACACCATGAGCATCGATCCACGCAACTGGGATACGATGACATGCATCAACAAAGTCAGCGAGTCTGACGATACGATCCTGTCATTCGCCTTTTACGACCAGCCTTGGTTGCCGAAGACCCATTCTACCCCGGGTCTTCACGGGTAAAATTCCCAGGAGCCCTGAGGACAGGGCGTGTGCACTTGCCTGCAGCCACATACGCCTCCACATATCCCATCTCCCCCTGGTTTTTGACAGCACCAACCACACCCTTCTTCCTCCAGTCGAATTGTTTGGGGGCGGACATATCCTTCACTAAAATCTCCTCGTGAACGGCTCCCTCGTGCTCTGGGTCAATGGCGGCTGCGGAGAGCTGTGGACAGAGACGTGGGCGTGTGAATACGCCTGCAGGTACAAGGATGACTTGTGGCGAGTATAATATATACAGATATTACGTTCTGGGGTAGATGAGTGAGTGGGTTGTATTCTACCCCGCATGGAGGCCACTCCCTAACCCTGGCCCAGGGAAACCAGTCGTTGATAGCATGAGCTACGGTATCGGCGTTGAGGGTGTGATGTTACACTTAGTCATGCCGTGGTAACTATAGTAACGCCCATTCAAAACTCTACATGATCTCATTCCTTGTACCGGAAAGTTGGTGGTACGAATCCCGGCTGCGTCATACCAAAATATGGTAAGAGATGGTACTTGTTGTTACCCTGCCTGGCGCGCGGCGTTAAGGGGTTAAATGAAGGACTGGTCGACTCGGACTCATCACTATAAAGTCGGCACAGGTCCGAACTAGTACAAGCATCCCTCTCCACACACAATAACCTTGAACGCGACCTTAAACCCCATTTTACCTCACCTCGGCTTACCCACTCACTCAGAAATCAACTTCAGATTGAAAATCATACTGTTGAATTACTCACAAGTTACGACATAGAAAACCATTGATTCACTTGTTATTATTTTGCATTGGTGTATCATTAATCTACTGGTATGAATGTGTAGTTTGTTCTATGGAACCAATTGATGAGACTCAGTGTTCAAATACACAATGGTGAAAAACTCAATCTCATTAAAATCAGATCTTAGTTTTCGCTACCGCTCACAAAGATCTGAGGACATCCCATTACGTGTCACGTCAGAACGACCTTTCGCGAATTTTGACCGACCAATGAAATGACTGACATGAAATCGACATTAGCCAATCAGAAGGCAGCCATCTCGACACTAGTTTCAAACGCTTCGAAACATATTTTGACGTATTCTCGATTAAAACAATTAAAACTGATGAGAACATTCTGGAATGGCTTATAGATTGTATGGATATAATCATAAAGCCCTAAATGTCATTCGGAATACCCCGTGTTAAATATTTCGTGGTTGCATGATTAGAAAACACATTCCGACTGTCACTTTCATGATCTGGTAAGCGACGCTCTGATTGGTTGGATGAAAGGTCGTTCTGACGTGACCCTTAATGGGATGGGGGAAAACTACAATTGGTATTGCTGTGAGTCAGATAACAATACTGCAATCTTCATTATTGTAGATATATAGTAAATATGTCAGAAGTAACATACAAAAAATGTACATGTATCCCGTCAATAAAACTTGCAATGAAGTAACGACATAAACACATTGCGTCATTACACGTTATCCTTAGTATGTTTTAATACCAACTAAGTGGTCCCCCGTCACGTTTTATCTCCTGCTTATGTAATGGCGAATACCTTAAAATTTCATTTTCGTGATGATGAAATGAGTGAGTTAGAGAGTATGAATTACACCGCTTGTAGCAATATTCCAGCAAATATCACGACAGAGAACACCAGAAATGGGCTTCACAAATTGTACCCTATGGGGAATCGAGCCCAAGTCTTCGGCGTGACGAGTGAACGCTTTAACCACTAGACTACCCGATCGCCCCTGATGACGAAGTGAAGAAATCGGATATTATACCGTTAATATTGAACAACTGCTTGTTAGCATATAACTGTTAACAACTAATAACAGAACACACACACACACACACGCTCACACACTCACACACGCACGCACGCACGCACGCACGCACGCATGCACGCACACACACACTGTTGAAATAATGGTTGACAACGGTTAAACAGTGACTTAGGCTTTGAGATAATCAGCTCAGGGCTGATCTTTAACCATATTCAAAATTGTACAATGTCATATTTGTGGCAGGTAAATTCCCCTTTTTTCAATAGTCTGAAGCATAATTATTATTTTCAATAAATTTCGGAGATTATTTTCGAATACATCATAGTTCCGCTCGAAGTGTCACCCCAATATGCCCGTCAAGTGGCTCTTCAACAAACTTTCATCCGATACCACGGATTAGCATTTAAACCAGCATATGTAAAAAACCGCTATGATGAGGTATAGCCTTGACACTATACCAAGATGTTATATATACAATAAAGGCCCAAGTGGTTTTTAGTTACCGCCTACGAGGTAACTAAATACCCGAGGGAATTTAACATTTAATATACATAAGCAATAAAATACAAGGGGCGGTCCCTCAAACCCTAACCTTGTCACACAGCCAAACAAAAGTAAACATAGGTGAATCGCTTATGTCGCAATGTTTTGTTGTTATGTTTTTCAAACTCGAATATACAGATGACTCGATGTTATTTTAATTAAGGTTGAATCGTGTGAGTCATATCCTTTTCTCCCCATTATTACGAACGAAATGGTGTTTCCTTTTAAACTTTGTGACGCCCTTTTAACTTCTTTCTCGAATATTCGTTGTTTTGACGGTGACAGTTGTTATCCACAGAGCTGAGGCAGCCGAACAACAAATCTCACCTCGTCGGCAAATTTGTTGAGTTCCAGTTTGAAGGTGGCGTCGTTGCGGTCGTTGTGGGCGTTCACGTAGTCGTAGTTCTCCAGCCACACGTTCCTCCTGTCTTCATCCTCCTCATCCGTGGGGTAGCTCTTCCCATACCTGGCCTTCCACTCCTGCCACTCCTCCTCCTCGGTGGCTGGGTTGATGCCGAGGGAGGAACTCAGAACGGCAAAACTGAGCCACAACACCAACAGCTTCATTGTAAGTCGACAGCACGTGGAGTAAGACGCTGACTTATAACAATAAATGTAACACTGGCGTTGCGCAATGACTAACCACACACGTGATTTAACTATCACAAATGTCACCGAATGAAGATTAACGGAGATTGCGTTTCACAGTGCTAACGAATGGGGAAGGACTCTTAAAGGCGCGCGTTGCTGGGTTTTTTCGTCTAGGATGTTGGTACGTCTCTGGCGCGTGGAACAACAGGTGTAAGGTACAGGGACTGGTACGAGCAGAATGACAACGTGCTGGGTATGTCACTGTACGTGACTCCGGGACCCGAGTGATAGGCAGATATAACGTGCTGATACCACACGGCCAGGAGATATCTCGGATAACGCGGATATCATTGTTGTTATCGCTATGACAAACATATACAGGTACTGCGCTGTACAATTCGATCAGTGGGGTTGCAAGTGCATGACCTTATGACAGACACGTGTGGAGTTACTTCCCTTATTTGTGCGAAGATCCGCTGAGGATGGGTTCAAATTTTAGATTCGATCGGATTATGATCATTGGTTTGTCAGCCCCATACCCGTGTTTCTGGGCTTTTAACATCATGAAATAAAATAGACCTGGGCCCACCTGCACAAAGCGATCATAGCGCTGAGATTATCGTAACTCCCATACTTAAACATAGGCTTACAATAGTCTTAGCGCTAAGAACGTTTTGAGCAAGTGGGCCCTGGGTACCATGCTCTGTGGATATGTTTTTGTTTCGTTTATGTAGTTATAAACGCAAAGACTGGTGTGCAAACTTTGCGTAAACCCGCTCCGCACACCGTTTACAGCCATAAACGCAAAAAAAATATTGTAGTAAAGTTTTAAATATCCCGAACATATGACATACATATGACACTGACCTCATAAGTGTTAAACATACCACGCCATACCTGCTGTAAAGTTGGTATTGGAACACTGAATGTTCCTCCAGATAGTTGCGGATGGATTATATCCATTGTTGCGAGGCAGCGATAGTCCTGCACCATGACTGTGGAATTTATATTTTTTAGGTATTTATTTTAACTAAAAGCCTAGGCAAGTCTAGATCAAACTAACCACGTCCAGTATGCTTGATTGGCACCATCACTGTGGAATTTATATTTTTTAGGTATTTGTTTTACTAAAAGCCTAGGCAAGACTAGATCCAACTAACAAAGTCTGGTTTGCTTGATTAGCACAGTGACTGTGGAATTTACGACTTTTAGGTATTTTTTTACTAAACGTCTAGGCAAGTCTAGATCAAACTATGAAAGCCTAGTTTGCTTGTTTTCATATGAAAACAGCAGAAGAGGAAAGGTTTTTTCGAAGAAAAAATATATTTTAAAGACATGTTTTCATTGACTAAGTGTTAGTCTAATCAACCGAGCAAAATAAATTATTGATAAACTGAAAACGTCTTATCCACAAACTGCTTCTAAGTTGTATGACATTCATGGATCGGAGACCACAAAACGTCTTTTGAATGAAACTGAAACTGATACGCATAAACAGTCTCGGAGAAAGACCTTGTTTCCCGATGTCGGACAACACAACGTTTCGGACAACACCTCATCATCATCATCTTGTGAAGCTGTGAAGAAGAAAGACAGTTTTGCTTTAGTGAGTGAATGCATAAAAAATAACAAATATTACAGTAAAATATCATCAAGATATGTTAAACAATCACCTAATAGTCACTGTTCCACATGAAAACAGCAGAAGAGGAAAGATTCTTTTGAAGAAGAAAAAATATTTAAGGACATGTTTTCATTGACTAAGTGTGAGTCTAAGTATCATAGGCAAGATTTGCAGGACAGGCTCTATATTAAGAAACATCAATCAGTGACATTACTCACACCCTCCCCCTTCGTCTCCCCCTTCGTCTCCCCCTTGGCAAAGTACCTTGGGGGGGATGCACCTTGAACTACCGGTGACATGGCTAGAATACGCATGTTAGCCACGGAGGGACGTCTAAATAAGGGGTGAGGGAAGTCAGGTATATTCCTAGAACTCAGGGATATTATTAGAATGCAAGTCCAAAAAGAAGATATCCTGATGGTCACTGCATTGACAACATGGGGGATTGCAGACGAGGTGCTACTGGTCAGAAGGAATAACCTTATTAGGAACATTGTCAGGAATGTGAGATATGTGGAGGAAAGATATATATGATTGTAAACCAGCCGAGCTGGGCAGTTGAGACTGAGAGTTAGAGCTAACGGTTGTAACTGTCTCAATAAAGTTGTTGTGGACCCTCAGACGGACTTGTGTTGTATATCGAAGGAGACAAGAAGAAGTATCCCCTAGAACACAATCTTCTACGGCGGATATATTGGTGGAGATGCGGGGTATCGGCTCAGTCCCGCAATAAATTCCACTGGGTATTCTCCCTATTTCATGTTGTTTGGGCGAGAACCCCGTATGCCCATAGACAACATATTACAGCCAATCCCTGGAAACTTACCTCCTAAAACACGGACTGACCTCAGGGAACTGTTAGATAATCTGGAAATGGCGCGAAACATAGCCACACAGAATGTCCACGCAGCCCAAGAATCATACAAAGCTAGATATGACAAGAAGGCCCAAATTCCCACTTTCACAGTTGGGCAGAAAGTATGGTTAAAGAAAGGAAACCTGAAAGCCCACCTCAGCCGCAAACTGCAACGCCAGTGGGATGGGCCATACTATATTGTCTTTGCGTACGAAACGCCCAATTACTTATTGAGACAATGTTTAACCAACAAACCCCTGAAAGCGCCTATCCACGCAAATCGCTTAAGGCCCTACGTGGGAGAGGACAGCCGGCCGCAACCGCCCCCACTTGACCTTGCGAACCCTACCGATACCATGGGTGCCAATAACACTGACACAGATAACCCTACGAGTACTCAAAGTGACAATGACAATACGCCACACATTACACTACCAACTTCCCAGCAAGGCCGCAAACAGCTAGCCACACCCACATCTAACTCGGCATCCAACTCCCACGATAACAGTTGGGATCCCGAGGATGATGTCCCACTGGCCATACTCCAAAAGAGATGGAATACGACTAATCAATCCACATCTAACACTGACACTGTAGAGGAAGCACCTTTCATTGAACAGGTGTTATCGTCAAAACGCATCGGCGGCATTCAACACTTCAAGGTGAAATACGTTGAACGTCCTACTCCACAGTGGGTCCCTCAGTCACAAATACCCACCTTTATCGTAGAAGACTACTATGCAAGATGCACTCTAAAGAGTAAACAAAAACAACAAAAACAAAAGAAAGCTGACAGCAAACCTATACTGTAACCAATTCTCCAGAATCCAACATCTTAGCATATCTTATGCTCAACAAAGGTGACACAGGCATACCTGAGGCATTTTATGTCTTATACGTCAGTGTCATTACACCCTACATCCTCGGTCGCAATCAATTACATAATACGAATAACATTCATACACACTATAGTAGTGGTGCAAGTATACACGACACGGCTGACTGATTGACACGGCGGACGCAATATAAATATACACACCTCATTTTTTTTTTCTCTCAATAATTCGGTCATCCCCTTTGTTGGTGATATATCTTATATTCATGTATGAATGGTTGGAGGGATGAAAGGAGTGCACAGTCAGTGTTTTGTATAGGTGTCAACTGTAAGTAAACAGGTACAGGACAAACCACAGACAAAAGAGCCATCACGCCATTGTCTGTGGCCCTGGAGTGACACCAGGTGTTATAATGAAGGAAGAGTAGTATAGTGAAGAAGAGATGAGATGGAGAGGTGTCAACTGTAGATAAACAGGTACAGGACAACCCGCAGACAAAAGAGCCATCACGCCATTGTCTGGGGCCCTGGAGAGACACCAGGTGTCATGTCGCTATGCGGCAGGGTGGCTGATGGATTCCACCGTCTGTCTGTCCCTTGATCACGGACAGACACACAGGCGTGTTCGATACCCATCGGAGGGGGATAGAGCAATCATCCTCCCTCCTACAAGTCCCGGTAGTAGTTAAAGGGCCAGCCAACCCGAGGGGAACAATGTGAAGTTATTGCGGACCCGGGATGTTGATGTCATGAGAATATATGTACTGTAATTGTGGAGAACGAAAGTATTTGCGCAGCAGAAAGAGGTATGAATGTTTCATGATTAAGTTATTGATTTTGTTTATGACATACCAATCAATGGTAAACAAAGTCTTTCATACTAGAGATGATAATAAGTAGGGTATCAATAGGTTTACAAAACAACCTTTATCTTTACACAGGGTGATGACCGACTTACTTCTCTGTTCCTGGTTGTTTCTGGTCATTATGACCAGTAAAGCATACGCACAGGACCATGACCGCCTACACTACGGTGTACTCTTCTCAGAGAGAGGGAAACTGACAGCGTTCGACGAGTCATGGACACACACATTCGCCTTAACCCTACCACAGCCTTACTTGAGAAATCTGTCATATGAATTACCAGCCTGTATGTCTCATCTTAATACCACCTGCAGAAACACACACTTTCATGTCAGCACAATACTCAATTTTGTAAATACAATCCATACACGCGCCAACACTGACCTAGAAAACACAATAAAATTAATCAGAGACCTAATTCCTGACACCCCTGAAATAACATCGAGAACACGAAAAACGCGTAGTTTATTACCTTGGCTAGGTCAACTCGCCAAGGGAGCCTTTGGACTGGCCACAGAACGTGACCTAAAAATAGTAACTGACCACATAAGACTCATAGCAGAAAAAATGCACACACGTGACATAGGATTCAACACGTCCCAACATCAAATGGCCTCATACATGACACAAACAAACGCCAGGTTTGACGGCATCGTCAAACTTATTGAAAGCAACCATAAACAAATAGTACAAACAGGTGCATTTTCTCTCCAAGAGATCAAGTGGTATGAGAAGTTCTTCTCCACACTTCTACTTATGGTGGGTCGAGAAAACCAACTTGCAGCCATCGTGCAGTCCCAATCCCAGTCTCTCCTGGCAGGCATCTTTCAACTCTTAAGAGGTCGCTTGTCCCCCAACAATGTACCATTACACACACTATTACCAACAATAACATCCATACAAGAAAACCTGGCTCATAACTACCCTGAATTCAAACTCCGATACACGGACGCCACAATGTATTACACAGACGTCGACGTCCATTTGGCCCGCCATAACAACATAATGTTTGTTACCCTCTTAATACCCTTAGTGTCTGACAGTACTGTGATGCGAGTATACCGGACATCTACGTTCTCCCTACCGACTCACGTGGCTTCCCCACA